AGGCTGGACCGCAGTCCCGGAGTCTGAGGCGGTCAGCACACATCTTTACAGGTTATGTGTACCTATCAACACAGCTAACCTCTTGAGAAGATGTGGATGGGCAACAAACACCCCCACCAAAAACGCCAGCCCGCAGCAGGGCGGACTTCGTGCTCACGCCCCTCTGCTGTGATACCACCCGCGTGGCACTGCGCCCCACGTCACACCTCCGTCCCCATGAGTGCAGGAGGCTGCCGAGCCAGCCTCTAGCGCCCACCAAGGCTAGGGCTTAGTGGCCATGCTGCTCTGCGGAGGGTCAGGAGACAGGTGCCCGCGCTCACTGGCCTCCTCCTACACCCTCCCAGGAGCCTCGGTCCATATCCCTCTCCTCTGTCATCTGACTCTGACCACTGAGTCAAGAGTCAAGGCCCTCAAGCGACCACCGCGTCCCCGGGGGGCCCTCGGTGCCCTGGTCGGGCAAAGGACCTGTTCCCTCTGGCTGAGGCTGCCGAGGGCCATCACCAGTCCTCAACCTCACACCTTTCCTAGCTTCCCTTTCATGAAGGTCAGCTGCTCCTGGGGCTCCAACAGGACGCAGGACACGTTAAGAGGGCAGCGAAGACAGCGGAGGCCCTCTTTCTCGCTGGGAGTCAGCATCCGTGCCAGCAAGACAAGCAGGTCCTGCTCCCTCAGCAGGGGTCAGCCCCCCGCTCGGCGCCCGGCCGGGCAGCCTAGTGACCCTCCCTGACCCTCAAGCGTCCCCCCATCAGCCCAGCTTCCAGCCACCTGCAAACGATGCCTTCTCCAACAGCCCTCTGGGCGTGGGCTGCGCGGAGGGTGGCAGGTAGATGAAGCGATGAAGTGCCACTGCGAGGGGTCCGGGAGGGGAGTGGGGGACGTAAGCCAAGTGGAGAAGAGGAAAGGTCAAGGGAGCCTCCACCACGGGGGTGCTGTGTGAGGAGGGTTCCCATCTGTGCTACTTGCTCCACACTACCGTGCACGCGGCTCCCTCGAGCACCCCGTATAAGGCACGCTGGCTGGGAACTGGCCTCTGGTGCCCATCAGAACCCGAACAGGGCCCTCTTGTGCCTCCGAGTCCTCGCACAGCACTTGGGACAAGCAATTACGAGAAAGCACGTCTTCCCCTCCCTGCGTCGGAATGACAGGACGGAGACCATTAGCTGAGGGCTACTTCCCCGCAGACCATCAGCGGACAGCAGATTCTCGGCTGCGGATGCGAGGAGCCAGGGCCACCCTCCCCGCGGGGCCTGATTGCGCCCCGCACGGCCGGCACTCCCCTCCACACAAGCGGCAGGAGAAACCCCACCGTTCCCAGGAGCCCCGCCTTCCAGTCAGGGCCGCAGGCCCACCCCTTTGGCAGAGGGGGAAAACTGCCGCCTGGCTCCGCCCCGAGGCGGCGGCCCGCCCTGGCCTGGCGAGAGCCCGTCGAAGGGGATGGGTTCGGCGCGCTGCACGGAACCCAAGACGTGTCCCGGGCCCTCGCCCCGCGCGGTCCTCCCGCGTCCGCCGCCGGAAGCAGCAGCCTGCGGCCGGAAGCAGCAGCCCGTGAGCCGGAAGCTGCGGCTGCGGACCGGCCCCCGCTTCGCGCCCGCTCCGCCTCCGCCTCACGCGACTTAGAGCCGCGGGGGGCCCTCAAGCGACCGCCGCGTCCCCGGGGGGCCCTCGGTGCCCTGGTCGGGCAAAGGACCTGTTCCCTCTGGCTGAGGGAAGCCCTGTGGGCACAGGGAGCTCACTTACGAGAGCTATGGTTGCCGTCGCCATCTTGCATCCGTCGCGGCTGCTGAGCGCGCCACACGCTCTTGCTCCCTCTGCGGTCTCGCGCGATGTAGGTGCTGGCGGAGATATTCGGGGGAAAAAGACGGAACTATCGCGATAAAAAGCCCGTGCACCAGCGACGTGGAAGGAGAAAGGAACTCGCCTCCAGGGCGGAAGGGGCGGGTCCAATGTGGAAGGGGCGGGGCCTGGGCGGAACGCGTGCGTCGCGGGCGCGCGCCGCCGACGGACTCTTCGTTCTCTGTCCAATCAATCCCCCTACCCATGAGTAGCGTGTCCTCATTTAATGGGCAACGTTTTCTCTTTCCTAGTCACTCATAAAACAGTGGTGCACCTTACAGCGATGAAGTCGTAGGCTCAATGACATACAGTCGGGAGAATTGCAACCCGCTGGAGGGGCATGCACTCGGAGTCCCTTACTCGCTCAAGTAACTCTTGAAGGCTCAAGGTGTCCCTCTCAGGCGTGGAGCCGCCCTGGACTCTTCACACCTGCGGCACCCAGTGCCGAGACCCTAACGCTGAAGAAACCAGATCTGTAAGCTTGAGCCCTGAGGAGCCCGCCGGACCCAACAAAGTGTATTCCCCAAAGTTTAAAATGCAGTAAAAGCACAGATAAGTTAAACATGGCAGAATATTTTCCTCACCTTCCTTCCCTCCCAAACGATGGGAAAATGACTCGATAAAGGCAAAAACCCACGAAACAAGGAGGTGAAAGATTGTGGAGCTGAAGGAAGGTGGGCAGTGGGAGTGGCTTTAGGGGCTGCTGTTGTGTCAAGGGATCATGCCTGCAAGCGCAGCTGGTAAAGGAGACCCCAGAGCTCTGCGTCGGGGCAGTGGCCAGGCGGTGGGCGCTAGCGGAGGAGTTCAGAGGGCTGACCGCTGGGACGCGCCCCGCTGCGAAGGTCGGGGAGTGAGACCCCTGCCCTTTCACCGTCCCCCGCCCCCGCCCCCGGCTCTGAGTCCGCCCCAGCGTGTGGCGCTAGGATCCTCAGAGAGGAGTGTTCCTCTGCATCAACACCCAGCTCAGAAGACGCATGGCTGTGGCGCGAGGGATGCTCAGGGGATTGGCCTGGCGAGGTCCCTGGTGTCCGCTCACTACACAAGTCCCACGGCCAAGATCGTCTCACTCTTTTTTTTTTTTTTCTAACTGGTTTCCCCAGGTTTTCCTCTCTCTCAGTCTTCACCTGAGGATACGTTTATTGATTTTAGACAAAGGAAGAAGAGAGAGAGAAACATCAATCAGTTGCCCGCTGTGTGCGCCCTGACTGGAGCTCGAACCCGCAACCTAGGTGTGTGCCCTGATGAAGAATCAAACCCACAGCCTTTTGGTGTATGAGACGATGCTCCAACCCACGGGGCCGCTAGGCCAGGGATCATCTCACTCTGAAATGCAACTGAGCATCCTAGGACCACCAACACCTGAGGAAGAGGAAGAAGACAAAGGAAAAGGGACTCAGAAGGAACAAAGATAAAAAAGCAAGAAGACAAGGTAAAATTATATCCTTAGAGATAGTGGAGACGGTGTTGCATCCAAAAACAAGAACAAGAGGCTATAAAGAAAGTTCATTCAGCAAATAGGACGAGAGCTTTCCAAGTCAAAATAGGAGAGGAAAAAGGACAATTCATAGGAGCATTGAAGGAGAAAGCTGAAGCCTTGCAGAATATTTGAAAACAAAACCAGATAACGAGCGAACAGAAAATGCGATCCTTGCCAAGCCAGTCAGCGCTGCCCAGAGCTTAGACCTGGTCAGGCACCTCCAGCCTCCAAACGGGGGACGGATGATGGGCTGGGTGGTCGGGGTTCACGTTCCTCCACCAAGGGTTGGGGGGCCACAAGCGCCCGCGGCGGCAGCTTCCCCGGGGAGACTGACGCGCAGTGTGGCGTTCAGAGCGCTGGTGGCCGGGCGCTGCTCTCATCGCACACCTCACCCTGCGTGAGCCTTGAGCAGCCCCTGGAGCGGGCGCCAGTGTTATCCCCATTTCACAGATGAGGAGATGGAGGTGCAGACCAACATCATGAGGCAGGAAGCAGGAGAGCAGCTCCAGGACCTGGCCCTGAACCACCACATGCTGTGCTCCTCAAAAGACAGGTCCAACATCTAAATGAGAAACTTTCCAGAAACTAAGGAGGGGGGAGAAATACACACACACACACACACACACACACACACACAATAAAATAAATTCTAGACCTGGAGGGTCAGGATCTCTGGACAATCGATGGAAGAGATTTATATCCAGACACATTGCTGAGAATTTCCTAAGCACTGGGGCGAAGAGAAGATCAAGAGAGGGAGAGTCGACACGGGCAGAATTCAGAAGGGAAAGGCATGGGGTTCTTGGGACTAGAAGAAAATGACACCGTCTACATCCTGGGAAGAAATGACTTTGAACCCAGCCCAACTTCTGTGCCTGGTCACACCACCAAGCAGGTGTGCAAGTGCAACGAGAACCAACAGGCAAAGACTCCCCAACTTCCCATGCCTTCTCTCCCAGGAAACCTGGAGCAGGTTCTTCCTCAAACAGGGCAAACCAGGGCAGGGGAAAGCGTGGGACCCAGAGACCACAGGGGCGCCAGGGCACGGGGCAAGGAGGGGCTGTGCTCGCAGGTGCGCCAGAGGCGCCGGAACAGGATCCTGCAGCAGAGGGGCCTGGCGGGGCTCTGGGGAAGGCGAGGCTGAGCAGACACTAACACAGCAATTCCCAGACATTGAGAGGAAGTTCATCCTTCTGCAGGAGCACATGAAGATGAATTGAGACACATATAGAAGACAAACCCCAAAAAAGGCAATTATTAACTCCAGGTAAAACAAAAAGTTGTGCAAGAAAGCAAACATCGTCCTTGAACACCTTGTTCCCTCCTAAGACCAGTGGTAACAAAGCTGTAGTAACACCTTTTACGCTGGGGTGATACTGGATCGGGGACTGAGGCCAGCGACCACCCCCTGGCCTCCGGAGGACACCAGCAAGGATCACCTCATGTAGAAAAGCCAATAAAAAGCAAGGAAAGCCTGTGTGTGGTTTTGAGAAACATGGATTTTAAAGGCCTGAAGAAACAGCTTAGAGTGAATTTGGAAAGGATCAAGGTTGGGAACTGCATTTAGTGTTATTGGCCTAAGAAAAAAATTCCACTTTTAAACATAATATGCCTATAAATTGGAAAAGATAAAAGTTAAAATGAAAACCTCAACATCGGCTTGATTAAATGAAGCAATGGTAGTACAGAGTTCTGTGTTCAGTTTAATCACAGGTACAACGTTGAGCGTTTGACATCAGGCTGTGGAGGTCGATGTGAATCAGGCAGCTTAGCATCAGGATTTCCAACTAGGCACGTAGGTTATTTTAGATTTGTAGTTTTAAATTGAAAGGTGTGAGAATTAAGTTGTGAGAATTTGATTAATTTTGTAGAGTGTGGAAATGTTCACAATACCTGGAGAGTCACTGTATTTGCACACTTAATTTATTTGATACGCCTCAGTCAGTCTGTCTTGTCTCAGGCTTTGGTTGGGGCAAGGCGGTAGGTGGGATGACACCCCTCCCCCCGCGGACGGCCCTGCCTTAACCCCCAGAACTTGAGGATGCTACTTCTGACAGCCAACGGACCTCGGCACGGGGGGACTCTTCTGGATCATCCAGGTGTACTCAACCTATTTACATGAAAGTTTTTTTGGCTGCAGAAATTCAGACAGATGGTTCGTGAGAAAGACTCAACCCAACATTGCTGGCTTTGCAGATGGAGGATGGGGCCACGGGCCAAGGAGGGCAGCAGCCTCTAGAAGCTGAGCATGGCCTACGGTTTTACAGCGGGCCAGAAAACACGGACCACAGCCTGACCACTGCCAGGCAATGAATTCCTGCCCGGCACCCAGCGCTGTGCCTGACACCACAAGCCGGCAGCCAGCCTGCAGGAGCGGCCGCTGGACTCTTGCCTAGAACCTCGAGAAAGAAAGGCAGCTGGCTGACACCTTGATTCTAGTCTCGTGAGACCTGCGCCAGACTTCTGACCTACAGAACTGTAATAAATTGGGGTGGTTTTAAGCCACTAAGTTTGTGGTAAGTTCCTCGAGCAACAATAGACAACTGATAGAATGGTCAACTTCCTCAGTTTGGCATTTGAAATGCTTAAAAAGAACCCTGAATGCACTAAATTTATACATGCAATTTAAACTGTTAAGAGTGTTTACGTTTGAAAATGGAGGGGAGGTGGTTCAAGAGAAACCAGGCCAGGGCAGCGCAGGGGCAGCAGGACCTGGGGCGGCAGCTGCTACAGGGGGTGAGGGAGGTCACCCGGGGGCGGCGAGCCTGGGGGAGGCAGAGCGAGGAGCCGGGAGGACTCCTGACCTGACCCTGCGGGCCAGGGAAGATGGGAGAGAGGCAAGCCCTTTGGAGGGGCCACAGGGGCCTGTGGAGCGCCCACAGGAGGGGCGGTCCCCGCCTAGAGCAGTGCAACACCAGCGAGGGGCTTCAGGGCTGGCCTGCACTGGACATTGGGCGAAGGCGCAAGAGCCACATGGTGCTGGGATCTGGGGCTTTGCGCAGCGTCTCTGCTGTCTGCGCCTCCTGCCAGGACATGGCCCTGCTCAGTGCCCAGCACCGTGCCGGATGCCTGCAGGTGCTCCGCCATTGACTTGAGGTTGGGGTTCCTTTGTGTGGGTCTGTGCTACCCCCCAACCGTGGCTCCCGACAGGGCAGCCTCCCCATTTGGAGGGCTCAGTCACCGACCAGACAGCTTGGGGGGCGAGGGACTGCCTGCTGGCGCAGGGAGGCTGTGGGAAGGAAGGGTGAGCGCGGAGGCAGGTTGGGTGAGGGGGTCCTCGTCCTAAGGACGTGTGTGGCCTAATCATGCCCCCCACCCTGCTGATGAGCTTCCTTGTGGGCCCAAGCCCGCCTCCCTTGACCCTAGCCAGGGCCTCTGAGCAGCTGTGCAAGGCAGAGGGAGGTTCCTCAGTAGCAGGCATGGGGGCCTCAGCCCCCAGGCACACAGGCGGAAGGCAGCACCCGGTCGGTCCCCGGACCCTCGCGTCCAGCTTCCCGATGCGGGTTGCCGGGTGTGCTGTCACAGCTGGGCTCCGCGATGCTTGCGGAAGGTGCTCTCCAGGAAGGCAGCCAGCTTAGTCCGGTCGTCCTGCGGGGCGGGAAGCTGGCATGGGGGAACCGGAGCGGCCCACCCTTCACCCTCCCAGCCTGGCCACACCCAGCATGCATACCTCGTGGACAAAGCCGTAGTGCACGAGCTCAGTAGCGAGGTCCTGGGCGCTGTCAGCTGTGGCAGGGAAGCGGAGGGCAAGGAGTGAGGAGACAGCGCCACCTGAGCCCACCCCGGCCCAAGGTCCCCATCCGGGCCCCCGCCCAGCCTACTTGGGAGCAGGTCGTAAGTGAGCTGCCGGTGCAGCCGGTCCTCCAGCACCAGAAGCAGAGTGAGCTGGGGAGGTGAGAGGGCAAGGTCGGCGCTGCGGTCCGCCCCGCCCCCGCCCCGCCCCCTGCAGGCCCTGCCTGGGGCCCTGCTCACGTGCCAGCGTGCCTTGTCCTCGCTCCTCTCCAGGTTGCACTGCATCTGGATCACCTGGGGGTGGTGGGGGCCCAAGGTCACCCACAGAGGCTCATACTCAGCAACTGAGGAGCGAGAGCAGATGCACCTCAAAGGGGCCCAGAGGGACAGGAAGGACTGGAAATGGGGACAGTCTCCAAGGGGAGCCTAGACGGCACCTCTTGCAGAAGGATGAATAGGAGTTTTCACAGGCGGAGAGAACACCTGACAAAGAGGGGGCTGTGGGGAGCGGGTGGGGGGAGGCGGGGGAGGCAGCAGAGCCCGGCAGGCCCAGGCCTCAGAGGGCCGCAGGTCGGCTGAGGACGCCCCCGGTCTCTGCGGGCGGCTCTGGCTGTTAGGACACGAATTCTGGCTGCAGTGTGGCGGGGAGCCACGAGGAAGGAGGCCAGGCGGGGGCAGGTGCGGCGTCCAGGTGGGGAACAGAGGTGGACCAGAGCCGAGCTGTGACCGTGGAGATGCACACAAGGACAAAGCCAGAGCCTCTGGAACTCAGTGGGTGTGGCCACGGAAAGGGAGGGAGGGAGGCTCCTGGCAGGAGGGAGCGTTGCAGGAGGAGAGGTTGGGGGAACGCAATGTGGGGCGGGGGGGGGGGGGGGGGGGGGGAGCGGCAGGGAGGAGACGCCAGAACAAATGTCAGGGAGCCAGCAAGCCCCGGTGGTGGGTCAGAGAGGGCTGGGGGACGCGGTTCCCAGGCAAAGAAAGGCTCTTGGGGCAGGCCAGACCAAGGGGGCAGCTTGTATGGGGACAGGGAACAAGGGGTCGGAAAGGGGGGTCTGCAGGGACAAGGGGTCTCTGGGAAAGGGGGTAACCCAGCTCCTCTGAACACCCCCAGCCCCCACAGGGGGGCAGCCAGGACCTGGCTTCTGGCAGCCGGGAGGGCAGCGGGGCTGGGACGCCAGCAGCCCAGCATGAGGACGGCGCCCGCGGGGCAGCAGGAAGGCAGGGCTCACCTTTCTGGTCTCTGAGTCAAAGGGCTCCGGTGTTGGGGTCTTGGCCTTCTGGGCCTCCTCTGGGGGCGGGGCCAGCGCTCGGGGCAGCCCCAGGGGCCGGGCCGCGGCGAAGTTCATCAGCGGGTAGATCCCGTTTCTGGGGACACACCGGGGATGGCTGGGGGCTCACGCCCGGCAGCCGCCTGGTCCCCAACCACACACCAGCCCTCACCTGACATCCTCCAGGAATTTGTCCAACTCCAGATAGGAAACCTCCGAGTACCTGGCATGGGCGAGAGAGGCACATGAGGGCAGCCGCCAGCCTGCCCTGCCAGGGGGCGGGGCTAAGTGGGGACGGGCCACATGGAGAAGGGGGCCTCGAGGCGACAGCCACTCACCGCCACTGCAGGGGGGGCCGGGAGGGTCGGGGGATCTCCGCCAGGACCGCATGCAGGTCCAGCGACTTGGTCTTCTCCTCCACCATGTTCTCAGGCACGAGGTCTACAGGCCACAGGGGCGCTCAGGGAGGCGGGCCCTGCAGGTCTCCTCCCTCATCCCAGCCCCAGGCCCCCCCCCAACCCCCTGGGCCGCCTGCCCCTCACACTGGTGCTGGATGAAGCAGTGAGCTGCCAGGAGCTTCAGCGAGTGCACCTCGAAGAGCACACGGTGGAAGAGGAGGTTGTGGGCAGAGGGCCGGCGGGCAGGGTCGCGGGCCAGGCAGGAGAGGATGAACTCCTGGGGGCGTGGAGAGGACAGGCTGCAGTACAGTCAGGGGGTCTCTCTGCCTTGGCTTCCTGGTAGCGGGAGAGGGCTTCCGGAACTGCCCAGACCCCCAGGGCCCAACCCCCAGGGGGCCTTCAGGCAGGAGTGTGCAGAGGGAAGAGCGCCCTAGGTAGGATTGGGCAGCCAGGGTCTGATCCTACCAACAGAACACTCAGGCCCCGAGCCAGGACTTCTCTTGACCCTCAGAAAAACCCAGCGCCGGGGGGCAAGGTGCTGTCTTCCCCGATTCAAACAGGAAGTCTGCAGAGGGCCAGCCGGCCAGCCCAGGCCCCCAGAGGTCACATGGCCCTGCATGAACCCCCTGCCACGGCCGGCCCCTCGCTGGTTGTCTCGGCCAGGCCCAGCTCTGGGGGGTGACCCTGATGAGTCCCTGGCCCCCGCTCCCTTCCATGCCCTGTGCAGCCTCTCTTGTCCGTCTTGGCTTCACCTCCCCACCAGCCCCATCCTGGCCCATCAGTTCCCTCCCCCACCGCCAGAGGCCACATGGTTAAGCCAGAGAGTCCCCAGTCTCTGGCCAGAGAGGTTGTGGATGCAGCTTCCATCCAATACTCCCTCTGCCTGCCCTGCTGCCTGCCACGCCTCCTCCACAGCCCAAGCTGGAACGTTCCCTCTAGCCTGTCCCTTGGAGGCTTAAATGCAAGGACATGGAGCCAGGCAGACCTGGTGCAAACACTGGCTCTACTGCTTACCCTAGAGCTGTGGGCAAAGGACTCAGCCTCTCTGAGCCTCAGTTGCTTTATCTGTAAAACGGGCGTCACAGCAGCGCCCATTCACCATGTCTCTGTGTCCCCTGCCATTCAGATGTGCACTGGGAGCCTCAGGCCTGGAACTCAGCCTGCAGCCCAGGTCAGGCGCTTCTGGTTGGTGGGCCCTTGTGTCCAGGGGCCGCACCTGCCTCAGCAGCAGGGACCCCCTGCCCTCCAGGACTGCCTGAAATACCTCCCCAGCCCTACCTGTAGGGGCTGGCGAGCTGCTTACCCTCATGTTGGGATCACTCAGCGAGTGCCTGGCACGAGCGATGGCCTCCTCTGTGACCCGGGTGTCCCCGTTGGCCTGGATTTCCAGCACAGCCATCTGCGGACAGGACGGGGAGGTCAGGCACCGGGGAGTGAGCGCACAGGAGGGCCACGCGCAGGGAGCTGGGGGGAGGCCAGCCCACGAGGCCATGCGGCCAGTACCTCCAAAGCACACATCCCGAAGGAGAAGATGTCCACCGCTGTGCGGTCGGCCACCTCTGAAAGGGGGACAGAGTCAGCACCGCAGGCGGGCGGAGGCTGTGCTGGGGGCGGGGCCTCCCGGACTCACCGCCGTACTCCGGAGGGAAGAAGTGCAGGTTCCGCGGTTCCTCCTGCTCGGTAGGGATGGGGCTTCGGAGATCATCCGGGAGCGCTAGGGCAAGCGCAGGGATGAGCGGGCCGGACCTCTCCGTGGCCCCCCATCCCCCAGGGGCCCCACGCACCGTTGGAGAAGATGCGGTGCCACACTGCGCAGGGCACAGGGGAGAAAGAGGGGGTCAGTGCGTCGCGGCTGCGGGCGGCCCCCAGCCCCGCCCCCTGCCCTGCCCGCACCGGAGCCGATCTTGATGAGGCCGTTGTGCTGTATGAAGATGGTGTCACTAGTCAGGTTCCCGTGGATGATGGGAGGGCTGCAGGCGTGCAGAAAGCTGCGGGCGAGGGCCGGGGAGGACAGAGCAGCAAAGCTGGGTCAGGGGGCGCCGGGGAGGCGGGGCGCGGGCGGCGGGGCGCGCGCAAGCCCAGGCCCTCACCTGAGCGCGGACAGGATCTGCGTGCACCAGCGCTTCCAGGCCTGTCGGCGGACGCACTCCATCGGACCGGCGGCGGGAGAGGTGGCTGGGCCTGTGGTGCCCCCACGTGCCCCCGCCCCTCAACCCCGTTCCCGTCCCCGAAGCTGCCCCGCGCCCCGCCCCGTCTCCGTCCTGGGCGGTGCCCTGTCCCGGTCCTGTCCTCGAGGCCACCCCTGCCCACTCCCCATACCCGGGCGTTCATGGCCTTGTGGTTCTTCTTGGTCTTCTTGAGGAACTGCTTGAGGCTGCCCGAGGACACGTACTCTGTGATGAAGATGACCTGCGGGGCGGATGGGCTCTCGGCTCGCCAACTGCGGGCGGGCGCCCCACCCACCAGCGCCTGGCCCGCCCCTGCTGTGCCTGGGGCTCACCCTCGCGCCCGCCTCGGAGGCATCCAGCCAATACTTGTGCAGCTTGACGATGTTGGGATGGTCAACCAGCACCAGCTGCTCAAACATAGTCTGGATCTTCTCCTGGGAAGTGGGGGGGGGGGGGGTGCAGTCACGAGGTGGTCACAAGAAGGGGGGCGGAGGGGGGATGCCGCAGGCCTCACCTCGTGCGCAGAGAAGGCCTTTCTGTCGCTGAAGTGCAGCTCATTCCACACCACCTCCACCCCCTCCTCCGTGTCCATGGCCAGGAAGGTGCTCTGGACCCCGGGCATGTTTCCCTGGTTTACCTGGCCGTGCGGTTGGGAGAGTGAGTGTGCTGGTAGGTGTCAGGGGAGGCAGTGGGGACTCGATCTCTTCCCACACCCTTCCCACGGGCTCTAGCTGGGGACGGAGGTCCCCGCCCGCTCTGGGGAAGCTGAGGGCCCGCGGGGGACTTGGAGCAGGTTGCAGGAGGTTGAGTATGGTTCCCAGAGGACTAGTGGCTGGTCCCAGAGGCATGGGGAAGTGATCCTGCCAGGTTGGCCCTTAGGGAATCAGGGTTCCTCACCAGGGCATCGGGGTCAGGCCAAAGGGGTGCAAGAAGAAGGGCGCCCATTCGAGGCCGCAGAGATTTCGGGCCTCCTTCTCCCCAGCTTCCACCTCACCCGCCCGCCTCCTGCCCACCTGCTCCCGCCGCTTCTGCCAGCGGCCGCACGGGCTTTCCTCCAGGATGTCGCTCTCATCTTCGCTCTCCTCCTCCCGCTCCCGCTCCCGGCCCCGCCTGGGCGCCGGCTCGGGAGCCGCCATGGCTCGGCGGGCCCAGGCCGCCGCCCTCCGTGCGATCTGCCGCCGCTGCTCCCCGCCCGCCCTGGCCCGGCGCACAGAAGCACAGCCAGGAGCCGAGCCGCCACCGCCTCGAGCCCTGACCCGGGCTCCGGGAATTGGGCGGCGCGGGTGCGCGGCCGGGGAGGTGGAGCCCGTCTGCCCCTCCGGAGCCGCCTCCTCCGGCTGGAGCCGGAGTGGAGCTTCCCCGCGGAGGGCCGAGCCCGCGCGGCGTCGGGAGAAGGCCCCGCCTGTCAGCTCTCCGGCCCCGCCCCGGCGAGCCCCCACCTCGGAGCCACGCCCGACACGAGGCCCCGCCCCGTTCTAGGCCCCATCTCTAGGAGCCGGGCGCTACTCAGGCCACGCCCCGACTAGGCCACACCCATTCTTGTTGCATGCTCCGCCCTGCAGCCTCCGCCCCGTCAGCGCTCCAACTGTAGACCGGGTCCGATCTGAGGCAACACCTTATATAAGGCCTCTCCCGGGACTAGGCCAGGTCCATTCCTGGCTAAGGCCCCGACCTGCGACCACGCCCCGGAGAGTCCCCATCCTTGAGCCCCGCCAGGTGCAGAACTCCGCCTTTTCTATGTCGGCCCCGCCCCTCTCAGGCCCCGCCCCGGCTTTGGACTCACCTATCGTGTCTACGGCCGCACCCCAGTCAAGGCCCACCCTTAAGCCCCGCCCCATTAAGGCCCTGCCCCGACTCAGGCTACTTCCATTCCTGGCTAAGGCCCCGCCCCATGATCCCCGCCCCGCGATTCCCGCCCCTGGCGGGCCCCCAACCTCGAGCTCCGCCCGACATGGAGCTCCGCCCGACATGAGGCCCCGCCCACTCGAGGCAGCTCGGGGCCGGGCGGGGCTGTCTAGGGCCCGGCCTCCCGCTTCTGCAAGCCCGGGCCGCTCTGAGGAGGCCCCCGGACCAGGCGGAGCCGAGCAGCCCGGCCTCTGCGGGTTCAGCGCCGGCCTGGAGCCGCGCCCGCCGGGCCTCCCTGGGCGCGCGACGGCCTGCGGCGACCGGGCCGGGCCGGGTCAGGGGGCCCGGGAACCGACCCAGCTCAGCTCTTGGAGCCGCGCGCCCTTCCAGCACCGCTTTCCCGCCGCACTCCTGTGGCACACGTCCGGGAACCCGCGTTTGTCTCCGGGCCTCCCCCGGGGGGGCCCAGCGTGGAGCGGGGTGTGGCGCAGACCGCTCCGCCGGAGCCGCGCGGCCAGGATCTGGGGAGAGCCCGGGACCGCGCCTGGAAAGCCAGCTCCGCGGTGTGCCCCGTCCCACAAGAATACGTGGAGTCAGTGAAGGTGACAAGATGCCGCACAAGCAGGCTGCGGGGCGAGTTAATTTTCGGCCCTAACGCTGCGCTTCGCTTTCCCTGGAACCGGGGAGCCCGGGGGCAGCCCCAGCCACACCCACATGCCGCCCGGTCTGCGCCCTCTGCCTCAGGCCCCGTGGAGAGCCGAGCTCTGGATTCCCACCTGAAATCCCCTCCGCCCACAACCCCTGCTCCCCTCCATGGTCTCCTCCCTGACGCCTGCTGCGCCCTCGCCCATCCTTCGCTTTCTCTTTCTAGGGAGAAAGGGGTAGACACATGGGCCTGGCCCTCCTCAAACAGACCCTCAACTTTGAACCCTTGCTCCTTCGCCTCCTTCCCACTGGCCTTCAGCCCCAGTGCCTCTCAGAGTCCCTTGGGACACCTCTTATTCCTGGCCTTTGGCCTAGCAGCATCTGACCCCTTTTGGGACCAGTGAGGTGACAGGCCATAGCAGCAGCCTGCTCCCTCTGCTCCAGGTATCCATCCCCCCAGCACCTGGCAACCATGCAAAATGTCACTCACTGCTGCCAGGTCTGGTCCTCTGTCACCGGCCCCAAACACTGTCCAATTAGTGGCAACGGTCTAACCGCGTCCAGGAGGCTATGCGTGACCTAACCACCCCGTCCAGGGGCTGTTGTTCTGAGACCTGCTTCTGTGTTGTCCTAGGTTTCCCATGCTTATTTTCCCTGTTTAACCTCTTACGGCTACAAGGAGGGTATAGAGTTTGGTGGATGAACCTCCAAAAATCAGGAATGTTAAAAAAAAAAAAGAGCTCCATTCATGCATAAACGTGTCTTTGCAAATTGTAAAGGCTGCGGCTCCTTCTGGGAGGAGCTGCAGCAGGAGACAGGGTCGCCCTCTGTGTTTGCCAGGCAGGCACCGGCATGGGCGGCCGCTGCTGGTGGACGCCAGACCGAGAGCGATGAGCCAGGTAACAACACACAGGACTGATGGGGGGTGCACACAAACGGCAGGAGGGCTTCATGATTGAAAGGAGTGTGTTTAATAAAAATTGGGGTACAGAGTGACATGTACATATCAGTGTGATGGGCTGAGGGGCCAAGAAAAAGAGTTCTTCCAAAAAAATTTTTTTTTTTAAATTCTCACCTGCTGACATTTTTCATGGCTTTTAGAGAGGGAGGGAGAGCGATAAAATTTGATGCAAGACAGCAGCATTGATCCTAGACTCCCTGACACAGGGCACCAGACGCGCCCGGATCCAGGGCTGGAACCCGCAACCAAGGCCTGTGCCCTGACCCAGAATCAAACGACAACCCCACAGTGACAGGGAAACACTACAACAAAATGACCCAACTAGCCTGCGTGAAAAAACAGTCATTTCTTCCTGTGCAGTGGAGTTTATCAATGACGATCAAATGCCAATATTCCATGATAAAAACCCACTGATAACGCAAGGGAGAGGGAGCAAGAGTGATCAGGGTTGAGCAGTGAGGAAGCATGGCTTATCACACGCAAGGAAATGACACAACCAACTAATTAAAAGAAAAAATATTACATATGTATAGAAGAATGAAGAGATGGATATTCAACAATTTTGAAAATATTGTAGATTAGAGTAAGATTCTCCTGAGTGTGAAAGACAAACACTAGAAGTCCTTTAATTTCGAGAGAGAGAAAGAAATAGGAGTCCAGTTTCAGGATCGAGAGTAGCCTTCTGAAGCAGCTGCATGTACGTGAGGTTCTCGTGCGTGTTGGGGTCGAAGAAGCCCTTGGTGTCGTCGCTCGGGTCGGCCAGGACGCGGTTCATCTCCTCGTCGAAGAAGCCGCGCTCGTAGGCCACGTGCACGGGCAGGCGGTGGCTCTGCACGGGGTCGATGATGCCGCCCGTGGCGATCTGGGCCTCCAGCAGGCGGATGCCGTGGTCCCGCACGATCAGGTCCCTCTTCATGGCCTGGAAGAGGGAGATGCGCTCCCCGGTGTAGGGGTCCGCGTAGCCCGTGACCGCGCGCTCGGCCGACAGCAGCTTGTCGCGGATCTCGCCGCCCACCACGCCCGCGGCCACCGCCTCGTCCACGGACAGCCGCTCGTTGCGCACGGGGTCGATGAGGAAGCCGGTGGCCGCCTGGGCCTCGAGCAGCACCAGGGCGGTGCCCGGCCGCAGGAGGCCCTTCCACATGGCCTGGTAGACGCTCATCTTCTCCTGCCTCCCGGGGTCGTCTCGGGCGGGCACCAGCACGCCGGCGATGCAGCTCGTGCCCTCCAGGTAGCGCCGGACCGAGTCCATCTTCATCACCTCCTGGGGGCTCTTGGTGCCCTGGGCCAGGCCCCGCAGGGTCTCGGCGTCCAGGACGCCGGACGTGGCCAGCTGGGCCGCGGACACGTGGCGCCGCAGGCCCCTGAAGGACACCTTGCTGAGGCGCTCCTCCGCCTCCTCGACGACCTGGGTGAGGATGGCCACCAGGCCCGGCAGGGCCAGCTCGCCGGCCGCCAGCTGGGCCAGGAGCTCCTCGCGGCGGGCCTGGGTCAGGTAGGAGGAGGACAAGACGTCCCACACGGGCACGGGCCGCCCGCGGAACCGCCCGGCCCGCACCTCCATGGTGGCGGCGCGCAGGTCCCGCTCCTGCGGGCGCGCGGCGGACTCGGCCTCACCGCGCCCCGGCGGGGCGGCGTCCGCCGGCGCCTGCTCCGCGCCCTGGGCCTCCTCGGCCTCCTCGATGATGGTGGTCAGCCGGCGGGTCAGCGCGGGCAGGCCCAGCGTGCCCGAGCGGAACTGGGCCAGCAGCTGCTCCCTCCGGTCGGCGCTCACGTAGCCGGACTCCAGCACGTCCCACACGGGCACGGCCGGCCCCCGCAGGCGGCCCACCTTGACCTCCATGGTGGCGGCACGCAGGGCCCGCTGAGGGTCCGCGGCCCCAGCCCCGGCCAGCAGCGAGGCCAGAGAGGCGCCCAGCTCCTGCGCGGTCAGCGTGCCCGCCCGGTACCTGGCCAGCAGGTCCTGCCGCTGGCTCTCGGACACCTCCCGGTAGAAGAGGAGCTCCCAGACGGTGACGTCCTGGCCCTCGGCGGCGCCCGCGCCCGGCGGCAGGGCCACGCGGACCTCGTGCAGGGCGCGGCGCAGCTCCTCGCTCAGCTGGTGCAGGGCGGAGCCGGGGCCGGCCAGCTGCAGCACGTACAGCCCCGTGTCGGGGTCGCGCACGCAGCGGCGCAGCAGCTGCATGTACGTGAGGTTCTCGTGCGTGTTGGGGTCGAAGAAGCCCTTGGTGTCGTCGCTCGGGTCGGCCAGGACGCGGTTCATCTCCTCGTCGAAGAAGCCGCGCTCGTAGGCCACGTGCACGGGCAGGCGGTGGCTCTGCACGGGGTCGATGATGCCGCCCGTGGCGATCTGGGCCTCCAGCAGGCGGATGCCGTGGTCCCGCACGATCAGGTCCCTCTTCATGGCCTGGAAGAGGGAGATGCGCTCCCCGGTGTAGGGGTCCGCGTAGCCCGTGACCGCGCGCTCGGCCGACAGCAGCTTGTTGCGGATCTCGCCGCCCACCACGCCCGCGGCCACCGCCTCGTCCACGGACAGCCGCTCGTTGCGCACGGGGTCGATGAGGAAGCCGGTGGCCGCCTGGGCCTCGAGCAGCACCAGGGCGGTGCCCGGCCGCAGGAGGCCCTTCCACATGGCCTGGTAGACGCTCATCTTCTCCTGCCTCCCGGGGTCGTCTCGGGCGGGCACCAGCACGCCGGCGATGCAGCTCGTGCCCTCCAGGTAGCGCCGGACCGAGTCCATCTTCATCACCTCCTGGGGGCTCTTGGTGCCCTGGGCCAGGCCCCGCAGGGTCTCGGCGTCCAGGACGCCGGACGTGGCCAGCTGGGCCGCGGACACGTGGCGCCGCAGGCCCCTGAAGGACACCTTGCTGAGGCGCTCCTCCGCCTCCTCGACGACCTGGGTGAGGATGGCCACCAGGCCCGGCAGGGCCAGCTCGCCGGCCGCCAGCTGGGCCAGGAGCTCCTCGCGGCGGGCCTGGGTCAGGTAGGAGGAGGACAAGACGTCCCACACGGGCACGGGCCGCCCGCGGAACCGCCCGGCCCGCACCTCCATGGTGGCGGCGCGCAGGTCCCGCTCCTGCGGGCGCGCGGCGGACTCGGCCTCACCGCGCCCCGGCGGGGCGGCGTCCGCCGGCGCCTGCTCCGCGCCCTGGGCCTCCTCGGCCTCCTCGATGATGGTGGTCAGCCGGCGGGTCAGCGCGGGCAGGCCCAGCGTGCCCGAGCGGAACTGGGCCAGCAGCTGCTCCCTCCGGTCGGCGCTCACGTAGCCGGACTCCAGCACGTCCCACACGGGCACGGCCGGCCCCCGCAGGCGGCCCACCTTGACCTCCATGGTGGCGGCACGCAGGGCCCGCTGAGGGTCCGCGGCCCCAGCCCCGGCCAGCAGCGAGGCCAGAGAGGCGCCCAGCTCCTGCGCGGTCAGCGTGCCCGCCCGGTACCTGGCCAGCAGGTCCTGCCGCTGGCTCTCGGACACCTCCCGGTAGAAGAGGAGCTCCCAGACGGTGACGTCCTGGCCCTCGGCGGCGCCCGCGCCCGGCGGCAGGGCCACGCGGACCTCGTGCAGGGCGCGGCGCAGCTCCTCGCTCAGCTGGTGCAGGGCGGAGCCGGGGCCGGCCAGCTGCAGCACGTACAGCCCCGTGTCGGGGTCGCGCACGCAGCGGCGCAGCAGCTGCATGTACGTGAGGTTCTCGTGCGTGTTGGGGTCGAAGAAGCCCTTGGTGTCGTCGCTCGGGTCGGCCAGGACGCGGTTCATCTCCTCGTCGAAGAAGCCGCGCTCGTAGGCCACGTGCACGGGCAGGCGGTGGCTCTGCACGGGGTCGATGATGCCGCCCGTGGCGATCTGGGCCTCCAGCAGGCGGATGCCGTGGTCCCGCACGATCAGGTCCCTCTTCATGGCCTGGAAGAGGGAGATGCGCTCCCCGGTGTAGGGGTCCGCGTAGCCCGTGACCGCGCGCTCGGCCGACAGCAGCTTGTCGCGGATCTCGCCGCCCACCACGCCCGCGGCCACCGCCTCGTCCACGGACAGCCGCTCGTTGCGCACGGGGTCGATGAGGAAGCCGGTGGCCGCCTGGGCCTCGAGCAGCACCAGGGCGGTGCCCGGCCGCAGGAGGCCCTTCCACATGGCCTGGTAGACGCTCATCTTCTCCTGCCTCCCGGGGTCGTCTCGGGCGGGCACCAGCACGCCGGCGATGCAGCTCGTGCCCTCCAGGTAGCGCCGGACCGAGTCCATCTTCATCACCTCCTGGGGGCTCTTGGTGCCCTGGGCCAGGCCCCGCAGGGTCTCGGCGTCCAGGACGCCGGACGTGGCCAGCTGGGCCGCGGACACGTGGCGCCGCAGGCCCCTGAAGGACACCTTGCTGAGGCGCTCCTCCGCCTCCTCGACGACCTGGGTGAGGATGGCCACCAGGCCCGGCAGGGCCAGCTCGCCGGCCGCCAGCTGGGCCAGGAGCTCCTCGCGGCGGGCCTGGGTCAGGTAGGAGGAGGACAAGACGTCCCACACGGGCACGGGCCGCCCGCGGAACCGCCCGGCCCGCACCTCCATGGTGGCGGCGCGCAGGTCCCGCTCCCTGCGGGCGCGCGGCGGACTCGGCCTCACCGCGCCCCGGCGGGGCGGCGTCCGCCGGCGCCTGCTCCGCGCCCTGGGCCTCCTCGGCCTCCTCGATGATGGTGGTCAGCCGGCGGGTCAGCGCGGGCAGGCCCAGCGTGCCCGAGCGGAACTGGGCCAGCAGCTGCTCCCTCCAGTCGGCGCTCACGTAGCCGGACTCCAGCACGTCCCACACGGGCACGGCCGGCCCCCGCAGGCGGCCCACCTTGACCTCCATGGTGGCGGCACGCAGGGCCCGCTGAGGGTCCGCGGCCCCAGCCCCGGCCAGCAGCGAGGCCAGAGAGGCGCCCAGCTCCTGCGCGGTCAGCGTGCCCGCCCGGTACCTGGCCAGCAGGTCCTGCCGCTGGCTCTCGGACACCTCCCGGTAGAAGAGGAGCTCCCAGACGGTGACGTCCTGGCCCTCGGCGGCGCCCGCGCCCGGCGGCAGGGCCACGCGGACCTCGTGCAGGGCGCGGCGCAGCTCCTCGCTCAGCTGGTGCAGGGCGGAGCCGGGGCCGGCCAGCTGCAGCACGTACAGCCCCGTGTCGGGGTCGCGCACGCAGCGGCGCAGCAGCTGCATGTACGTGAGGTTCTCGTGCGTGTTGGGGTCGAAGAAGCCCTTGGTGTCGTCGCTCGGGTCGGCCAGGACGCGGTTCATCTCCTCGTCGAAGAAGCCGCGCTCGTAGGCCACGTGCACGGGCAGGCGGTGGCTCTGCACGGGGTCGATGATGCCGCCCGTGGCGATCTGGGCCTCCAGCAGGCGGATGCCGTGGTCCCGCACGATCAGGTCCCTCTTCATGGCCTGGAAGAGGGAGATGCGCTCCCCGGTGTAGGGGTCCGCGTAGCCCGTGACCGCGCGCTCGGCCGACAGCAGCTTGTCGCGGATCTCGCCGCCCACCACGCCCGCGGCCACCGCCTCGTCCACGGACAGCCGCTCGTTGCGCACGGGGTCGATGAGGAAGCCGGTGGCCGCCTGGGCCTCGAGCAGCACCAGGGCGGTGCCCGGCCGCAGGAGGCCCTTCCACATGGCCTGGTAGACGCTCATCTTCTCCTGCCTCCCGGGGTCGTCTCGGGCGGGCACCAGCACGCCGGCGATGCAGCTCGTGCCCTCCAGGTAGCGCCGGACCGAGTCCATCTTCATCACCTCCTGGGGGCTCTTGGTGCCCTGGGCCAGGCCCCGCAGGGTCTCGGCGTCCAGGACGCCGGACGTGGCCAGCTGGGCCGCGGACACGTGGCGCCGCAGGCCCCTGAAGGACACCTTGCTGAGGCGCTCCTCCGCCTCCTCGACGACCTGGGTGAGGATGGCCACCAGGCCCGGCAGGGCCAGCTCGCCGGCCGCCAGCTGGGCCAGGAGCTCCTCGCGGCGGGCCTGGGTCAGGTAGGAGGAGGACAAGACGTCCCACACGGGCACGGGCCGCCCGCGGAACCGCCCGGCCCGCACCTCCATGGTGGCGGCGCGCAGGTCCCGCTCCTGCGGGCGCGCGGCGGACTCGGCCTCACCGCGCCCCGGCGGGGCGGCGTCCGCCGGCGCCTGCTCCGCGCCCTGGGCCTCCTCGGCCTCCTCGATGATGGTGGTCAGCCGGCGGGTCAGCGCGGGCAGGCCCAGCGTGCCCGAGCGGAACTGGGCCAGCAGCTGCTCCCTCCGGTCGGCGCTCACGTAGCCGGACTCCAGCACGTCCCACACGGGCACGGCCGGCCCCCGCAGGCGGCCCACCTTGACCTCCATGGTGGCGGCACGCAGGGCCCGCTGAGGGTCCGCGGCCCCAGCCCCCGGCCAGCAGCGTGGTGAGAGAGGCGCCCAGCTCCTGCGCGGTCAGCGTGCCCGCCCGGTACCTGGCCAGCAGGTCCTGCCGCTGGCTCTCGGACACCTCCCGGTAGAAGAGGAGCTCCCAGACGGTGACGTCCTGGCCCTCGGCGGCGCCCGCGCCCGGCGGCAGGGCCACGCGGACCTCGTGCAGGGCGCGGCGCAGCTCCTCGCTCAGCTGGTGCAGGGCGGAGCCGGGGCCGGCCAGCTGCAGCACGTACAGCCCCGTGTCGGGGTCGCGCACGCAGCGGCGCAGCAGCTGCATGTACGTGAGGTTCTCGTGCGTGTTGGGGTCGAAGAAGCCCTTGGTGTCGTCGCTCGGGTCGGCCAGGACGCGGTTCATCTCCTCGTCGAAGAAGCCGCGCTCGTAGGCCACGTGCACGGGCAGGCGGTGGCTCTGCACGGGGTCGATGATGCCGCCCGTGGCGATCTGGGCCTCCAGCAGGCGGATGCCGTGGTCCCGCACGATCAGGTCCCTCTTCATGGCCTGGAAGAGGGAGATGCGCTCCCCGGTGTAGGGGTCCGCGTAGCCCGTGACCGCGCGCTCGGCCGACAGCAGCTTGTCGCGGATCTCGCCGCCCACCACGCCCGCGGCCACCGCCTCGTCCACGGACAGCCGCTCGTTGCGCACGGGGTCGATGAGGAAGCCGGTGGCCGCCTGGGCCTCGAGCAGCACCAGGGCGGTGCCCGGCCGCAGGAGGCCCTTCCACATGGCCTGGTAGACGCTCATCTTCTCCTGCCTCCCGGGGTCGTCTCGGGCGGGCACCAGCACGCCGGCGATGCAGCTCGTGCCCTCCAGGTAGCGCCGGACCGAGTCCATCTTCATCACCTCCTGGGGGCTCTTGGTGCCCTGGGCCAGGCCCCGCAGGGTCTCGGCGTCCAGGACGCCGGACGTGGCCAGCTGGGCCGCGGACACGTGGCGCCGCAGGCCCCTGAAGGACACCTTGCTGAGGCGCTCCTCCGCCTCCTCGACGACCTGGGTGAGGATGGCCACCAGGCCCGGCAGGGCCAGCTCGCCGGCCGCCAGCTGGGCCAGGAGCTCCTCGCGGCGGGCCTGGGTCAGGTAGGAGGAGGACAAGACGTCCCACACGGGCACGGGCCGCCCGCGGAACCGCCCGGCCCGCACCTCCATGGTGGCGGCGCGCAGGTCCCGCTCCTGCGGGCGCGCGGCGGACTCGGCCTCACCGCGCCCCGGCGGGGCGGCGTCCGCCGGCGCCTGCTCCGCGCCCTGGGCCTCCTCGGCCTCCTCGATGATGGTGGTCAGCCGGCGGGTCAGCGCGGGCAGGCCCAGCGTGCCCGAGCGGAACTGGGCCAGCAGCTGCTCCCTCCGGTCGGCGCTCACGTAGCCGGACTCCAGCACGTCCCACACGGGCACGGCCGGCCCCCGCAGGCGGCCCACCTTGACCTCCATGGTGGCGGCACGCAGGGCCCGCTGAGGGTCCGCGGCCCCAGCCCCGGCCAGCAGCGAGGCCAGAGAGGCGCCCAGCTCCTGCGCGGTCAGCGTGCCCGCCCGGTACCTGGCCAGCAGGTCCTGCCGCTGGCTCTCGGACACCTCCCGGTAGAAGAGGAGCTCCCAGACGGTGACGTCCTGGCCCTCGGCGGCGCCCGCGCCCGGCGGCAGGGCCACGCGGACCTCGTGCAGGGCGCGGCGCAGCTCCTCGCTCAGCTGGTGCAGGGCGGAGCCGGGGCCGGCCAGCTGCAGCACGTACAGCCCCGTGTCGGGGTCGCGCACGCAGCGGCGCAGCAGCTGCATGTACGTGAGGTTCTCGTGCGTGTTGGGGTCGAAGAAGCCCTTGGTGTCGTCGCTCGGGTCGGCCAGGACGCGGTTCATCTCCTCGTCGAAGAAGCCGCGCTCGTAGGCCACGTGCACGGGCAGGCGGTGGCTCTGCACGGGGTCGATGATGCCGCCCGTGGCGATCTGGGCCTCCAGCAGGCGGATGCCGTGGTCCCGCACGATCAGGTCCCTCTTCATGGCCTGGAAGAGGGAGATGCGCTCCCCGGTGTAGGGGTCCGCGTAGCCCGTGACCGCGCGCTCGGCCGACAGCAGCTTGTCGCGGATCTCGCCGCCCACCACGCCCGCGGCCACCGCCTCGTCCACGGACAGCCGCTCGTTGCGCACGGGGTCGATGAGGAAGCCGGTGGCCGCCTGGGCCTCGAGCAGCACCAGGGCGGTGCCCGGCCGCAGGAGGCCCTTCCACATGGCCTGGTAGACGCTCATCTTCTCCTGCCTCCCGGGGTCGTCTCGGGCGGGCACCAGCACGCCGGCGATGCAGCTCGTGCCCTCCAGGTAGCGCCTCACTCCCTCGTCCTGCTTGATGCTTTCCACAGAGGTGCGTCCCTCCTCAAGTTTCTCCAGTGTTTCCTTTGTGATGATGGCCGATTGGAAGAGTTCGGAGGCTGTTACTTGTCTCCTGATGCCTCTGAACCATAACTGCTTAGCAGATTTTTCTCTCTCATCAATCATTGCGAAGATTTTTTGAACCACCTGTTCTAGGGCATGCTTAGTGTCATTTTTGTATTTGCTGACTAACTCCAATTTTTTTTCCTCTGTGACATATTCAGAGTTCAGCAGCTCCCACACCGATCGCCTCTGTCCTTTGTACCTGCCCACGGTGACTTCCACCCACTCTGTCTCGAGGGCTCTTCTCGTGGCCTCATCTATATACACAGAGTCCTGTCCTTCACGGATTACTGGGAACAAAGTCCAGCCTGCCTTCTCCTTCTGGAGGCTTCTCTGCTGAAGCTCCTGGTATGTGACCTTCTCTTGCGTGTTGGGATCAATGAACCTCTTCTTCATGTGCTTCTGATCGGACACGAGCGGGTATATGTCCTGGTGCAGACAGCCACGCATGTAGGCCATGTCTAGCGGGAGCCGGTGGTGGTGCAGCGGGTCCACAACACCCCCTGTGGCCACCTGTACCTCGAGCAGTCGGAGCGCCTCTTCCCTGCTGACCAGCTTCCTTTCCATGGCCTGGAACAGTGAGACCGTGTGCCCCGTGTCTGGGTCTGGGTAGCCCTTGACGGCCTTCTCGGCATTCCGGAGCCTGTCCTGAAGCTCCTCGCCCACAAGACCAGCTGCCACAGCCTCATCCACAGAGAGCCTCTGGTGGCTGCGGGGCTCCAGCATGAACCCTGTGGCCGCCTGGGCCTCCAGCAGCAGGGCTGCGAACCCCGTGGGGATGAGTCCCCTCGTGCTGGCCTCATAGATGCTCATCACTTCCTGTGTGGAGGGGACAGTCACACCCGCGATGCAGCCACTGCCTTCGAGGTAGGTCTTCACATGCTCCAGGCTGCTGAGGGCCTGTCCCCTGTGCAGTGTGTCCAGGGTCTTCTTATCAATGATGCCAGCGTTGAACAGCTCTGTGGCCGTCACTTCCCCGCCAATCCCAGGCACCTTGATGATCTGGTGTCGCTTCTCTGTCTCTTCGACTGTGCTGGTGACAGTCTCCAGCAGCTGCTGCAGACTCACAGTCCGATCCCGGTACTGTTGGACCAGCTCTCTCCGCCTCTCCTCCGTGAAGTACTGCGATGATAGCAGGTCCCAAATGGAGACACGCTGACCCGCGAACCTCCCCACAGGCATGGTCACGGTCTGCGATCGCAGACCCTGCTTTGTTGCCTCGTCGATGTACACATACGTTTCTCCTTTCTTTACGATTTGTAACATGTACAGGCCGGTCTCAGGGTCCTCCACGCAGCGCTCCAGCAGCTGCATGTACGTGAGGTTCTCGTGCGTGTTGGGGTCGAAGAAGCCCTTGGTGTCGTCGCTCGGGTCGGCCAGGACGCGGTTCATCTCCTCGTCGAAGAAGCCGCGCTCGTAGGCCACGTGCACGGGCAGGCGGTGGCTCTGCACGGGGTCGATGATGCCGCCCGTGGCGATCTGGGCCTCCAGCAGGCGGATGCCGTGGTCCCGCACGATCAGGTCCCTCTTCATGGCCTGGAAGAGGGAGATGGGCTCCCCGGTGTAGGGGTCTGTGTAGCCGGTGACCGCGCGCTCGGCCGACAGCAGCTTCTGGTAGGTTTCCTTGCCGAACATCCCTGCCGCAAATGCCTCCTCCACGGTCAGCTTGCGGTTGGCCACAGGGTCGATGAGGAAGCCGGTGGCTGCCTGGGCCTCCAGCAGCACCAGGGCCGTGCCCGGCCGCAGGAGGCGCCTGCTCAGGGCCTCGGAGATGCTCATCCTCTCCTTCGTGGCCTGGATGAGCACCCCGGCGATGAAATTGCCTCCTTCCAAGGAACGCTTCACACTGTCCATCTGTGTGACCTCCTGCACCGTCCTTGTTCCCTGACTCAGCTCGTCTAGAGTCTTCTTGTCGATCACCTGGGACCTGAACAGGTCGCTGGCTGACACCTGCTTCCGAAGCCCCCTGAAGATGGCCTGCGGGGGCTGCTTCTCCACGGCCTCGACCAGGGCAGTGACTGTGCTGACCACCTGCCGCAGGGCCGTGGCCCGCCCGGACTGACAGAGCACCGCCAGCTCCCGCCGCTTGTGGGCGTCGACGTACTCGGAGTGCAGCAGGTCCCAGAGCGACACAGTGAGCCCTTTGAACCTCCCAGCCCCAACAGGCACCTTCATGGCCCTCAGGGCCACTGCGGTGTGGTTGTCCACCTCAAGTGCCACATCCTGGGGCAGAGGCAGCAGCCACAGGCCGGTGTCAGCGTCCAGGACACAGCGTTTTTTGAGCTGCTGGTATGTCACCTTGTCCCGTGTGCTGGGGTCGAAGAAGAATTTGCTGTCCTCATCCGTCCCGGTCAGCGCCTGACTGGTCCGCTCGTCCAGGAGGCCAAGCCTGCAGGCTGCTGCCTGGGGCAGGTGCACCCCGTAGGTGGGGTCCACAGCACCCCCCGTGGCCAGCTGTGCCTGCAGGAGCGGGAGGCCCTCGCTCTGGGGCACGAGACCCTTCTCCATGGCCTGCCACAGCGAGAGGGAGCCCCCCGAGTAGGGGTCCGTATACCCACTCACCGCCCTCTCCGCCTGCCGGAGCTGCTCGCTCAGCATCCCGCTCACCAGGCCGGCCTTGACCGCACTGTCCACTGATAGCCTCTGGTTGCTCAGAGGGTCCACAAGTGAGCCAGAGGCCACCTGGGCCTCTAGCAGGCTCCGCCCCAGTCCTGCGGGCAGGAGGCCATCCTCCACGGCCTGGGCGATGCTGGCCTTGGTCCCCGAGGGCTGCAGCAGCACTCCAGCCACACAGCCCGTGCCCCACAGGCAGGCCTTCACTGCAGGCTCCTCAGCAACCTGGGCAGGGGATCGTGTGCCCTGGGCCAGGGCCGCCAGGGTGTCCTCGGTGATGATGCCAGCATCAAGCAGCCAGACTGCGGGCACCTCGCCCCGAGGGCCGGGCACTGAGACGCGTGCCTGGGCCAGGAGCTTCGTCTGCTGCATCCAGCTCTGCATAGCCGCCTGCAGCTGCTGCGCAGTGGTCTTCCCCACCCGGAAGTCCTCCAGGAAGCCCCTCCGTTGCTCTTCTGTGAAGTGGCAGGAGGAGAGCAGCTCCCAGAGCGACATGCCGTCCTCTGCCCCCTTAGTGGCCCGCAGGGTCTCCTGCACCTGCTGGTCCGTGGGGACGGCAGGAGCACTTTCCTGCAGGGGCAGGAGGTACAGGCCTGAGGCCTCATCCTTCAGACACTGTCCCAGAAGCTGGGCGTAGCTGGTGCGTCCCCGGCCGTCCGGCGTGGGGAAGGTCTCAGAGGAGCTGGACAAGGTCGCCTCCATCTCCTGATCGATGCATCCGCGCTTGGCAGCCACGGGCGCGGGCAGGTGGTAGTGGACCGTGGGGTCAATGACCCCTCCCGTGGCCAGCTGGGCCTCTAGCAGGCGGGCAGCCTGCTCCTCACGGACTAGGCCCTTCTTCATGGCTTGGAACAGGGACACCCGCTCCCCAGAAAAGGGGTCTCGGAAGCCGGTCACGGCGTCCTCGGCCCGTCTCAGCCGAGAATACAGCTCTGGCCCCACCAGCTTCCTGCGCACGGCCTCTGCCACCGACAGGGTCTCCAGGGTCTGGGGGTCGGTGAGGGCTCCGGTGGCTGCCTGGGCCTCCAGCAGGGCCAGCACCACCCCTGGCCCCAGCAGCTTCTGCTTCATGGCCTGGTAGAGGCTGAGCCTCTGGTTGGAAGAACGCAGTAGCACACCACCCACGGCGCCCAAGCCACGCAGGTACCTGCGGATGCCGTCCATGCGGAGCAGGGCCTCGGGGCTGACCGCCCCGGCCAGCAGCCGGTCCAGGAGCTCCTGGTCGATGATGTGGTCCTCCAGGAGCTGGTAGGCGGTGACCCGTCCCCGCAGCACAGGCAGCGTGACATCCGCGCACCTCGCTGACTCCCTCTCCAGCAGTGCTGCCACCTGTTCCAGGGAGAGCTTGCGCAGCCGGTAGCTGTGCAGGAGCTGCCTCCTCCGGGCCTCGCTGCAGCACTCCGAGTTGAGCAGCTCCCAGGCGGACACCCGGCGCCCCCGGAACCGCCCGTAGCTCGCTGACAGCAGCAGGCCCTGGAAGGCCCGCCGGGTGGCGCTGTCCACCAGCTGGGGCCGCTCACTGCTGCTGAGGGGCAGCAGGTAGAGCCCGGTCTCAGGGTCGCGCACACAGCGCTCCAGCAGCTGCATGTACGTGAGGTTCTCGTGCGTGTTGGGGTCGAAGAAGCCCTTGGTGTCGTCACTCGGGTCGGCCAGGATCAAGTTCAGCGCCTGGTCGAAGTAGCCGCGCTGGTAGGCCACGTGCACGGGCAGGCGGTGGCTGTGCACGGGGTCGATGATGCCGCCCGTGGCGATCTGGGCCTCCAGCAGGCGGATGCCGTGGTCCCGCACGATCAGGCCCTTCTTCATGGCCTGGAAGAGGGAGATGCGCTCCCCGGTGTAGGGGTCCGCGTAGCCCGTGACCGCGCGCTCGGCCGACAGCAGCTTGGCGAACACGTTGGGCCCGATGACGCCTGCCTTCAGCGCCTCCTCCACGGAGTACCTCTTGTTTCCTTTCGGGTCAATGAGGAAGCCGGTGGCCGCCTGCGCCTCCAGGAGGACGAGGGCCGTGCCCGGCCGCAGGAGCCCCTTCCTGTGAGCCTCGTAGATGCTGAGCCGCTCCCGGGAGCCGGGCAGCAGCAGGCCAGCGATGCATCCGGTGCCCTGCAGGTACCTCTGCACTGAGTCCAGGCTGCCCACGTGCTGGGCTGTGGTCTGCCCTCGTGCCAGCTTCTCATACATATCCTGGCCGATGATCTCTGCTTTCAGCAGCTCCCCGGGTGTCACGGGGACCCTCAACCCAGAAAACGTGGTTTTGGTGGTGGCCGCAGCCTGCTCCAGGGTGGCCCTCAGCATGGCTGCCAGCTCCTCCACCGACAGCGCCCCCTCCTTGTGTTGCTGTGCCAGCGCAGCCCGCTGCTCCACAGGGACAGCCGCAGAGAAGAGCAGCTCCCACAGTGACACCGGCTGGCCCGTCACCTTGCCCACAGAGACGGTGGCTGTGGCAGCAGTCAGGGCCTGCCGGGTGCCATGCTCGATGAACGGGGGTCCCTGTGGCTCCTCTTTGAGGGCCTCTCCCGAGAGGGGCAGGAAGGCCAGCCCCGTCTCCGGGTCGGTGACACAGCGGGCCAGCAGCTGCCCGTAGCTGAGGCTCTCCTGCGTGCTGGGGTCCGAGAAGCCAGCGTCCTGCGAGAGGTGCTGCCGTGTCTCCTCGTCCAGGCAGCCCAAGCGCAGGGCAGCCTCCAGGGGCAGCCGGAGCCTGCGGGCTGGGCACACTAGCCCACCCGTGGCCAGCTGGGCATCCAGGAGCCGCAGCGCCTGAGGCCTGTCCACCAGCTCCTTCTTCATGGCCTGGAAGAGGGGGATGCGGGTGCCGCCGAAGGGGTCCTGGAACCCTGTCACTGCCTGCTCTGCCTCCAGGAGCTGCGCATGCAGCTCTGGGCCAATGAGGCCTGCCCGGACCGCGTCATCCACGGAGAGCCTCTGGCCGGTGGCTGGATCCACCAGGGTGCAGGTAGCGGCCTGAGCCTCGAGGAGTGGGAGCACGGTGCCCATCGGCAGCAGGTGCTCGGCGACAGCCTGGAAGAAACTCTTCTTGCGGCCGGCAGGCAGCAGGACGATGCCTGCCACACTGCCAGTGCCCTGCAGGTAGCGCTGAACCTCGGGGCGTGCACTCACATCCTGCACCGACAGCCTGCCGTTCTGCAGGCCCCGGGCCGTCTCCTCGTCCAGGATCCCGGCCTCCAGCAGCTCGGCCAAGCTCGCTGCCCCACTCAGGGTGCAGAAGGTGGTCTTGAGAGGCAGCAGGGCCAGCCCCGTGCCGGGGGCCCGCAGGCACCGACCCAGCAGCTCACCATAGGAGAGCCGCTCCAGCGTGCTGGGATCCAGGAAACCTGGCACGCGCTCCGACAGGGCACGCTGCGTCTCCCGGTCCAGGAGGCCCTGCTGGCAGGCCAGCTCTGGAGCCACGCGCACTCCCCGGACGGGGTCCACCAGGCCCCCCGTGGCCAGCTGGGCCTCCAGCCAGCTCCACCCCAGAGCCTTGTCCACAACCTCCTTCCCAATGGCCTGGAAGAGGGACAGCTTCTCACCGCCGTAGGGGTCAGGGTACCCCGTGACCGCGCGCTCTGCCACCAGCAGCTTCTCCTTCAGTTCCAGGCCCACCAGGCCCTGCCGCAGGGCCTCAGACACGGGGAGCAGCTGGCCCTGGCCCGGGTCCACGAGGCCCCCAGTGGCTGCCTGGGCCTCCAGCAGCGCCAGCCCGAGTGCGTCGGGCAGGAGGCCCTGCTTCATGGCAGCATAGAGGCTCAGGGCCTGGCCGGACGCCTCCACGTGCACCCCAGCAACACTCCTGGCCTGGGGCCCGGAGGGAGGGCTGGCTTCCTGCAGGGCCTTCGTGACCTTGTGGGGGGCAGCCGGCGTGGTGCCGTTGGTGACCAGGACATCAAGAGGAACGGCGTGGCCATTCATGGTGCCTGCCTGGCTGTGCAGAACTTGCCAGAGATCCGCTGTGTCTGCTCCCTGCGGGGGGCAGAGAGTGTCCGTCAGGGGCCCTGGGATGGCCTGGGTGGCCGGCCGGGGTCAATCTCAGATCCTGGGTGCCCCCCTAGGGGGACCAGGATTGACACCCAGCTGCGGGCCCCCCCACCTGCCTGGCCCCCCGGAGAGACCCGGTGAGCACAGGGAGCCCAGGGCAGCCCTACCCGCCCGCCTCCAGGGAAGGGCGCTGGGCCCTGTGTGTCCCCCGTGGGGCCCCAGCCCTGTGCCCCCACAGCACCCACGCCTGCAGCTGCACGGCCCTTCCCTTTGCTCCCCGAGGCTCTGCCCCCCGACCCCGTGTCCTGGGCACCAGCTCCTACCTGGTCCTCCTCCCTGGGACCCTCCAGACTCCCACCCTGCCTCCAGCTCCCAGATGGGCTACAGCCACCCCCACCTACGTTCCCCTCTTCCACCCTCTGACCCGCTCCTGTGACCCCCAAGGTCCCCTCTCAACCTGGCTCTGTATTCTACTCTGGCCAACCCGACCCGCGCCCCCAGTATGGCTTCTCTGCGCCCACAGGGATTCAGGGTCCGCGCGCAGCTCCTGTGGGGCGGTGGGTGGGGCCAGGCCCGGTCTCCCGCCCGGCGGGCCCTGGGCAGCTGGCTCGAAGCGCTGCACCCCCGGCTGTCCCCGCTCAGCAGGCAGCTGTGTGCACGGCTCTCTGCGCAGAGGTGGCAGGCGCCTAAACTCCTGCCCATGGCTGCTCCTTCCATGCTGGGTGAAACTGCGCTCCCCAGAAAGAAATGTCTAAGTCTTCACCCCAAGTCCCTGACACTGTGGCCTCGTTTGGAAACAGGGTTTTTGCAGATGTCGTTAGGGCACGGTCACCTTGGAACAGGGAGGGCCCTGATCCAACAGGCTGGTGTCCTCAGGAGGACAGACACGGGGACAACGCCCGCCCGCCCGCGATGCCAGAGGCAGGCCGGCGTGATTGGCAGCCCAGAACACCAAGCGCAGCCGCCAAGGCCAGAAGCACTGATTTCAGGCTCTGGCCTCTGCACTGCACAGTGAGAACTCGCTTCTGTTGGTTTAAGCCACCGGAGCCGCGGTAACTGTTGCGACAGCCAGAAAACAGCAGCCGCCCTCCCGGCCTGTGAACCGTCCCCTCCCCGCTTCCCCAGAACTGCGCCCTGGTCCTGGCCCCGCCCACACCTGTCTTTGCCGCCCCCACCCTGGCCAGCGCCCGCAGCCCACACCGCCAGCTTCCACACCCACGCCCGGTCCAGGCAGGAGCTCAGGCCCACGGCCGCCCCTGCCCCCACTCCACAGCCTTTGCTGAGGTGACCTCGCGCTCCGGCTGAGACGTCTGACAAGTCTATTTTGGGTCTGGCGGCCCCTGACCTCCGGGGCGTGGGACACGGGGACCCTTGTCCCTGGTGACAGGGTCCTGCTCTGTCTCCACTTACCCACTAACTCAGAGGGTTCGAGACCACCCCAGCCCCAAATCTGCCACTGAGCCCATCCTGTCCGGGATCCCGAGCCACAAGTCCAGCCGCCTCCCGGACGTCAGTGCCCGGCAGCCTCGGCCACAGCTGCGCCCCCTCCGAGCCTGAGCCTCGGACCCCCGGCTGGCCCCACGGGGTGCCCCCCCGACCCCGGCCCGGCTCACGTCTGGGCCCTTGGCGTCCAGCAGCCCCGAGCAGGGGGTCCGTCAGGGAGCACCGGGCAGGGCTGAGACCTCCTGCGGAAACCCCACGAAGCCCACCGCCACCCCCAGTATGGGGCCTGCCCGCCCTGCACCTGCACAGCTGCTGGGTGGGAGGCTCCTGGGGTCACCCTGCGGCCAGGCTGCCGCTCAGGCCCAGGCAGTGGGAGCCAGGACCAGACCCCGGCGGGGCTGTGGGGGCCGCCAGCCAAGGGCCGGGCTGCGGGGAGCGCTGCTGCCGTTCGCTGTTCTCTGGCTTCCCCGAGGGGAGCGGCCTCCAGGCTCAGGGCACAGTGTCCAGCATTCGAGAAGTAACCAGCTGGACAGCAGGAGCGTACGCGGCCAGCGGAGCGGCCCTGATCTCCAAGGGCAAGGCAGGCCGGCGGGGCCCCGCGGTGAGAGCTGCCCCACACCGCCCCCAGGTGGGGGACCACACGGGTGCAGAAGCTGGGGTCAGGGGAGCAGCTGTGACCCGCCATCCCCAGACTGACCCACTGGGAGCTGGGGCTCCTCCGCGGCCGCCCCCAGCTCGGCGGGCCTAGATGTCCTGGTCCCAGAGGACGACCGCTACTTCTGCTGGGGACACCGCTCCGGTCCCCCTGAGCTGCAGGCCATGGCCACAAGCAGGGCGCCCAGGCCCCTTGAGTCCAGGACCACAAGGCCAGCTGGAAGCGGCGCGCCTGGCCAGGGAGCTGATCTGACCAGCGGGCGGAGGTGGGGCCCATGGCAGGGCGGGGGCAGGGAGAGCTCCCCAGAGGCCCACCTGCTCCTTCCCGACCTGGTTCTGCGACAAACAGCCAAACGGAACCGCCCTGCCCAGGCCTGAGCCAGGGCCCCAGGGGTGGCCGAGACCCTCGCCCACCCCCTCCTCATGCGTTTCCCCAGGAAGAGGTGCCCGTTGGCACGCTGGGAGTGGGCCCGCGTGCGGGGGCAGGGCCGCCCTGACCGCCCTCTAGGGGTCAGCGAGGCTGTGGCCTGTCTGTCCACCTGTGTCTTCTCTCCACCCGCGAGGCCAGCCGGAGGCCCTCCCTGGGACCCCCTGCGCTAGGTTCTGCCCCTGGGCCGAGCTGGACGTGTGCACGCTGCCCCCCAGCAGCTTTCTCACAAGTGCCAAGTGGGCTGGCACCCAGCCGCCGTGTCTTGGTGGGAGCGCCAGGCAACAAGGCTACCAGGGAAGGTGGAGCCGTGCACCGGCCCGGTGGCGTCCGGCAGGGACGGGGTGGCAGAGGAAAGAGACACCTTTCTATCCAGCTAAACAGGAGTGGGGGACTTCCTGGGTCACCCTGGCAGCAGTGTGACGGGGGGGGGGGGGGGGTGGCACAGCTGTGCCTGGCCCTCAGCCTGGAGCCTGCACAGCCTGTCCTGCAGGGAGGAGGGGTGGCACCAGGGCAGGGAGTCCAGAGGGGCCCAAACAAGCCCCGGTTCTGGGCACAAAGGGGACCCCTGGCGGGAGGGTGGTGTGCGCCTGGGGAACACAGGCAGCAGGGGGCAGGCCGTGCGGGCACAGGTGCCTGGGGTCTGCAGCCAGGAGCTCGGGAAGGAGGTGCCTGGGCGGCAGGGGGTGGGGACTGGAAGAGACAGACCGGGCCTGTGGGGGTGTCCAGAGTCGGCTAGCAGGACTCTCAGGCAGGGCCTGTGTCACAGAAACCAGAGGATCTGTCCCAGAGAGGTGGCCCCAGCAGACCGAGAGGGAGGCTGAGCAAATCCCTCCCCCACCGCGCCCCCGCACCCACACGGGGGGGAGGAGAGGGCCAAGGGAATCTGAGAAGTGAGTCCCCTCCGGTGGCTTCCTGGGGTGGCCCCACCTCCAGGGCCCCAGGCGACAAGGAGGGGGAGGCAATTCCCGAGAAGCAGAGGCTCGCATTCCTGGGGGCGGGGCACCACCCTGTCGGCCGGCCGGGGCGGGGAGCTCGCTGGCCCTCCACCGCCGCCGGGTCAGCACAGGCCCGCGGCGCGCTGCCTCCCAGACGCAAGCAGGGACCTTTGCTCCGCTTCGGGCCGCAGCTGGGAGGCCCGCCCAGGTGCAGCGGACAGAGCGACGGCCCCAGAGGATCTCAGGTCAAGGCCGCGGGTGCGGCGCCGGACGGGCAGAGCCCCTCCCACGCCCGTCTCCCAAGGGTCCGGAGACGACGCCGCGCAGGTGTCCCCGGGCAGCTCCTTCAGTGGGTCGGGCCCAGCCCCTCAGGCAGGAGCCACACCTACCTCTCAATCTGTCAGCCTAACTGCCTCGATCCCAGGTGCCCAGGCCTCTTCGCTTCGCCGACGACCCCTCCCCCCGCCCCCTGCCCATCAAGGGCGGGGGGGGGCGGGGAGGAACCGGATCGGCAGGGCCCCGCCCACCGAGGCGCACCCGTCCTGCAGGGAACCCGCCAGGCGGGCGAGACCCCCGCCCCGAGCGCGCGACTCCCTCGCCCGCACGGGGAACCCGTCTTCCCACCTGTACGCTCGGCCACGGGCTACGACCAGGACCCTCGCGCACGAGGGCTGGTAGGGCGGGGCCGTGGCCGCAGCGCCCCGCTCTGCCCGGACCCCCGCGTGGGCCTGGGGCTCAGATTGCCCGCGGGCGGGACGACAGTGAGCCGCAGCCGGAGCCCCAGCCCCGGCGCGTGGCGCCCCCACCCGTACCCCTTCCCCAGCCTGTGCGGTCGGGCCCGGGCGAGCGCGGCGCAGGTGTCTCGGTTTGGCGGACGGCCGCCCTCCCTGCCCGGATGTCCCACCTGTGCGCTCCAGAGCCCGTTCGCAGTCCCTCGGCTCACTCCACGGCCGGCGCCCGGGGCCGCCGGGATTTAAACCTGTTCGGCCCCTCCCGGCAGCGGCGGCCCCGCCCCCGTCTGCGGGCGGCCGGGTGGGGGCGCCCCGAAGCCAGGTGGGGCCGGCAGGCGCTGGGAACCGACGCCCCACGACGACCCTGGGCCTGCCGCCTGGGAGCACCCGCAGGAGGGGTCCCGAGGGGGCGGGGACGGCGGGCGCCGAGGAGCAGGGTCGTTTCCCTCCTGCCCCGGCCCCTTCCTCGACCCCTCGCCAGTCACCAGTCACCGCGGAGGAATGTCGGCCGCGCGGGCGCAGAGGCGAGAGGCGGCACGTCTCCCGGCGTTTGAATGGAGTTTGCAAGGGAAATGCGGACAGTACGGCTCGCGGTTTGCTTTGCAAAACACTGACTTTATTGCCCCCAGCGCTGAAGGGCCCGGGCAGGCTCCATGCGGCCCCCTCCCCGCCCTCCTTGTCGCTGTACTCGGGGTCTGCTCACTCCCGTGGCGCCGGCTTCCCCAGCTGCTGCTTAATCCAGAGTGGGTTGAGCCAGGCTGTCCTCAGCGGTTCCCTTCCGCGTGCCCCTCCGTGGCCTTGACCTTGAGGAGCTAGGGTCTCTGTGACCCCAGCAGGCTCCCAGTCCTGTCTGAAAGGGAGGGCCAGGCCTCACCACAAGGGTCTAGCCGCTCTGCCTGGGCTCAGAGGAGACCTCCTGTCTACCCAGGGGCCCCCAGACCCCCCTCAAATGCCCATCCCAGCACGCACCTTCCTGGGCAGGAGGTGGCTGGGAAATCTGGGGATGGAGGACGCAACCTTGAGGGCGACCTGCTGGGGACCACGGCCCAGGACAGGAACCTCTCATGGATCTTCTGGCTGGTCCTCCCCTTCACAGGAACCTTCACAGAGGTTCCAGAAGCTCGGGGCAGAGCAGGTGCCCTTCGTCCCCCAGGGCAGGGCCCGAGGCCTGCCCTCCATCCGGCCCTGAGGGTTCAGGCTCCCCCGGCCCAGTCCTCACCTCTGCCCGGGTCATTCTTGACCAGACACTCATCCAGGGCCGCCCAGCCACCTCCGACACACACCATGAGGGAACTTCGAGACTCCTGTACAGGCACGGCCGGGGCGGTGGCGGGAATGGTAAGCTCCCGTGGCTCTGCCCCTCCTGCCCCCGCCAGGCCCGCGCTCACACCTGCTCACCGAGGCTCCCGGGACGCCACGCTGGCCTCTGGCCACCTCCAGGCTCTGCTCTGTCCCTGTCCCCCACTCTGGCCATGCTGTGTGCCTGCTGCTGGCTTCTGAGGAGCCCTGACCCAGGCAGAGGAGTGAGCTTTGGGGTGAGCCCACGTCCCCCCGAGGTGTGTGGGTCAACCTTGTCTGTCCCCACCCCTGCTCACCAGGCACCAGGACATGCCCACGATGTCCTGCCAGGACATGTGGCTGTTCTGGCTGTGGCTCGTGGCCCGGGGCGCAGCCCGGAGCTGCCTCCTCCCGTGGCCGAGCCACTGCAGGCAGCACTGCCCGGCCACGGAATCCAGCTGTGTGCCAGCCCCTCACCACGGGAAGGAGCGGGGAGCCCGGCCCGGCCTCGGTCGCTCTCGTGTGTCCGGGGTTGGGCAGGCTGCAGGTGACCGGCCCTGGTCCTTGTCCCCGCAGCTCCAGCTCCCTGCGGTGACCTCCAGCTCAGCTCTTTCAGGACCCTCCCTCTGGCGGCCTGGCCACTGTCCCCAGGTTTGGGGTCCCTCAGAGCCAGCACCTTTCCTGGAGCTCACCCACACAGCAGGGGGGGCCTCAGGAGGCTGGCACGGTGAGCCCCGTGCCTGGCACTGCCCTCTGCCCGCCCTGCCACTGCCATCCCCTGAGGCTGGCGCCCGACCCCAGCAGCTGTGGGCAGCCCTGAAGGCTGCCTGCCCCCGCCCCCCAGAGCACCTGCGGGCACTCACAGGGCGTGGTCCCAGGGCACCTGAGAGCGGCGTTGCCGGGCCGACACCAGCCACCGGTCCCACCTTCGTCCCCCGGGGTTCGGCCTGGGTCAGCCTGTGGGGCGGTGCAATCAGCAGCTCCACATAGGCTGGCACTGCTGTCTCCTCCAGGACACAGGGCCTACGGGGCAGCGCGACAGAGGCGGGCAGGGGGCGGCGCTGGGCGGGGGTGGGTGGGCGCAGAGCAGAGTGGCAGGCTGACCTCTCCGTCCAGGAGCTGGACAGCACAGCCCAGCAGCCCAGGGGTTTCAGCCGCAGGCCCAAGCGGCAGATGCGCTCGCAGGGGGTCCTTCCTCCCAGGGCAGGGCTCCTCCGCAGCAAGGGGGGCGTGACCCCAGCTGGCCCGCCCAGAGCAGCAGCGGGAGGCACCTGCTGAGTGGGGAGACCGCAGCCCAGCTGGCACCACCGGGCTGGGCGCTCAGGGCTGGGGTGAGAAAGGCCGGCAGGGTGGCTCCCTACTATGGGTGGGCCTGTGTCCCCTCGAATTCAAATGTGGAAGTTCTAACCCCTGAGCACCTCAGAACAGGACCTTGATTGGAAAGACGGTCATTGCAGGTAAGATCAGCCAGGGAGAGGTCCTAGCAGAGAGTGAGCGTATGTGGCCCCAAGTGTCCTTGTAAAAAGGGAGGTCAAGGCGCAGACACACAGAGGGAAGATGGTGTGAAGCCGCAGGAAGCTGGCGTGTCTACCAGCGGAGGACAGAGCCCTGGGGCACGCCGCCCTCACAAGGAGACCCAGCGGCTTCTGCTGTGTGAGCTGCTCAGGCAGCCGGAGCAAACCAACAGCCCCCCCGCCCCCCCCCCGTCTGAGGGCTAAGCTGGGTGGAGAGCGTGGGGGGCTTCAGGGCAGGGAGCGCCGGCTGTAGCAGGAAGAGGGGAGGGTGCGGAGC